AGGAAGGAGGAGTCTGGAGGATGAGACCACCTGGATCTCCATCCTGGCAGGCTCGGGGACCACGTGTGGGTGTGAGGGCTCCCCCCTGGATCCCTCTCCAGGGCCTGGTGCAGGTGAGCAGCTAAACCTCAGAGGAGGGGTCTGGTAGGGCAGAGGCCCTTTCCTGGGGCAGGGAGGCTGCCCCGGTACCTAGAGGGGCATTGCCACCACTGGCCCGTTCCCCTGAAGTGAGGGACTGGGTGTGGGGGAGGTGTGTACAGTCACCTGGCAGGGCTGAGAGTGAGGGACAAGGTGGGAGCAGCCTCTCCCTCCTAGGATAGCAGCGAAGTTGGGAGCTCTGGATGGGAGGTGGCGAGGGGCATGGTTGGAAAGATTGGGGGTGAGGAACAGACAGAGAGAAGGGCCGAGGGGTCCGAGCAGGCCCCGATCCTGCTGCAGCCTCCGCACCCGAGCAGGACACCCACCTCTCGGTGCCCAGGCTGCTGCTGAGGAAGAGGAGGGCCATCCTGGTGACCTCCAGCGTCCGCCTGCACGTGGCCTGGAGAATCTCCCTGCCGAGGGGAGCCTGAGTCAGAGCTGTCTTCTTGCAGGGAACTGAGGACACCGCGCCCTCCCCACCCAGTCCCCGGGGGTACTCACGTGAACCAGTGCAGCCCCCGAAGCATCAGCTCCTGCCCCGCCAGCAGGGACCGTGCCAGCCGCAGGGCCTGGTAGCCGGCCCCCAACACCCCCTGAAACACACAGGCGGGCAGGATCAAGTCCTATACCCCCTACCCCTGTGCGAACCTCCCTCCCTGCCACCTGGGGGCCGTCCCTCACCTTAGCCGTGTTGTAATCTGCCTGCAGGTCCACTTTTGGGACGAACTTGGGGATGTCCAGAGCAGCTGCAGATAAAGACCCTGTCTGAGGGGGCTGCCTGTCTGGCCCTGGATGAGGTCTGAGCTCATCTTTCCTTACTGCCAGCTCACAGTCAGCCCTCAACACCCAGCTTCCCAACTCACCTAGAGCCGCCACCCTCAATCCTGAAAAGCACCAATGTGCTTCTTTACAATTGCAGTCACTCACTGCCCCCTTGTGTTCACTTTGGAGAACTGCAGCCTCGTACCCAAGGCCCCATCTCAACGGCAGAGGATGGGCTAAAAACCACCTCTTACATCCAGGGGTTTCAAGGTTAATTCCCCTCTCAGACCCTGAGGAGGAGGATGAAATCAGCTTAATTCAAATGAGAAGGAGGGATATTTTTGCTAGAACTTGGAGGACAGAGCTCTGGACCCCTGACCACCTTCCCTTCTCTCCAACAGCCTGGGCCTGTTTCCGTCAACCCAAACTATCCGAGGTTTCCCCACCAATTACGGACCGTGGAGAGCATGCTAAATCCACACCTCCCTGTTTCCTCTGGAGTCTCCTTCACAGATCTGTGGATGCTGTGAAGCAGGAAGGGCAGGCCGCTGGCCCGAGTCATATGTCATTTCAGAGGCATATGCTGAATTAGAACCCAGATCTCCCTTCTACACCCCAGGGGCCCAAAGAAACACCCACAGAGAAAATTAATATCCTGGATTGTCAACCCCCGCCCCTTGGAGGAGAACGCAAAGAGGAGAAAAGATCCAGGCTGGGTGGTCCTACTCACGGTCCCTGAAGGCCAGACCCTTGGGGGTCTCACTGGCCATGCTGAACAGGGTGAGGGGGCTGCTTGCTGTGGTGTGGACGATGTGCTGTGCTGAGAGGCTGGGCTCGAGGACACAGAGGTGACCCTCAAAGAGGTACTCCTGGTGCTGGGGGGCCACGTTGGTCTGCTTGTACACGGCCTCCAGAAAGATGGCTATCCTGGACACACCAGGGCAGAGGATGGAAGGGGGGTCAGCAGACTGGATACAGGGTCAGGGTGGCCCAAACCCCAGCTCAGACTTTGGGCTCTGCTTTTCAGAGGGAAGGCCTGGGTGATTTGCTCTTTTATCCAGGGTAGAGAGACAAAGGGTAGAGCTCATGTCTTATAGTGGATGGAGACAGAGCGGGGACAGAACTCAAGGAGCCCCAATATCCTGCCTCCACCTTCACACCTCTTTCTGCCATGTTCCCATTAAAAGTCGCCTAGTCCCATAGCATGCTCCAGGAATAAAGGCCTCTATGAGCAACACATTTGGGAAATGCACAGCCAGCACATGTGCGCGTGCGCGCACACCCCCCAGGACGTTCGTGATGCATCTTAGCTTTGTGAAGTTTGCTGAGTCGCTCAAGGCCAGCAGCAAGGAAGCCTGTTTGACTTTAACTTGGTGGAACTAGTATTTTTCCAAACTAAGTTTGGACCCTGAAGAAGCTTCCGTAACTAAGCACCCCCCAGCACGCCGCCCAGGACACAGCCCTGTGCTTGGGGAGAGACGGCTCACGCTTCCCTCCCTGGCACCCACTCACGTGTTGTGTGCGTGGACATAGACGTGGTGCAGGATGGCCTGGGGCAGGGAGAAGACGTGGACGATGACTCGCTGCAGGATGTCACTGGTCTCCGCAAAGAACTGGTCGAAGCCCCAGCACTTGGCCTGCTCCACTTCCAGGATGTTTGCCAGGATGGGCACCAACTGGCTCTGCAGCCCTCTGTCCCCCCAGGACATGAAGACTGTCAGGGGCTGGGGCCCAGACTTGTCCTCCTCGAGTAGGTGACAGGGGCATTCCACGAGAACACCCTGAAGAGCGAGGACTAAGGAGTGGGAAGGGGTGGGATGGTGAGGAAGAGCCAGAAGGGTCTTCCAGCATCCAGATGGAGACACAGGCCAGAAAGGGAGAGTGGGAACCCAAGCTGACAGCACACAGGGTCCCCCTGGGCCTGGCTTGAGGTAGGTCTTGACTCGTAGCAGAAAGGATGACGCCGGCCCAGACTCGGGTCTGCATCTGCCCTTCCTGCAAAGTCCCACTCACGTGGACAGCTGGCAGGTGATGGGGAGGGTGTAGCTCCACTCCAGGGGCCCGTTCTCCCGCCTCTGAGTGCCCGCAATGGCCCCGGCCGGCTTCTCCGTGGTGATCCGGTACCTGGGGGAGGCGGGACAAGGTCAGCAGGCCTATCGCACTTCAAGGGATGACGGGCAGCGCAGAGGACTCAGAGCACTGGTGCCAGTCACCCAGCAGCTCCAAGGCAGCCTGAAAGTGGAATTTGAGAGTCCTGGCTCGCAGCCAACAAGATCTCCTAGTCTTGATGCCCCCCGCCCCCAAGCTCTCTGCTCTCCTCTGTCCCGCACCACACCTCCACGGCCCTCCTGCCTCCACACCTGTGCCTGCGCCGCGCTTGTCCTGAATAGCCCCCCTTCCATGTTACTATTCCAACCACCCCTCCCTTCAAAGTCCAGCCGACACTGACAGCCCCCATCCAAGTCAGTCTCCTTCTCCTTCCCCTAACCGAATGCACGTTCCACATAGCTTGACCCCTGAGCTGAAGGGGGCATTGACCGCCCTGCAAATCCACCTTAAGTCTCTTCTGCTCTGGGCAGTGCCCTCAGTGGGAGCAGCCTGGGTCTCCAGCTACTTCTGTGTCAGACAGCAGGAAACCTCAAGGAACCTGGGTCCTGGGGTCAGAAGGCTGGGTTCTTACCCCCAACTTGCCCCAGCAGCCTCTGCAGCCTTGGGCAAGTCACTTTGGGAGCCTCAGCTGAGATGTGGTGAGCCCCAGATGGAGCAGGGGTGCTCAAGGGAAGCACTGAACCCATCACCCAGGGCCAGGGCTCAGCTTTTTGTTTGATGGACTGATAACCAAGGATCTAAATGGAGCCTGCATGGGGGTGGACCAGGAGGACCACAGAGTCAGAGGCAGAAAAGGAGACACAGCAGGAGCTGGCAGGGAAGGCCCAGGGCCCACCCCCACTCCCCTCACCGTACATGATCTCCTTGTTGCGCCGAGGCCCGCCGAAGGGGACGAAGGGCAGGCTGCCGGTGGCTGCGTGGTACAGGGTCACCCCAATGCTCCAGAGATCCACGGTCACCCCAAAAGCCTTCTGCTGGGGCTTGCGAAGCACTGCCCGCTCATACATGTCAGGATGCTGCCAGAGGAGGACAGGAGAGCAGTCATGGAGGGCGAGGGTGGCCGAGGGCCTGAATCCCTCCACCTACCATCAGAAACCCCTTCAGGTGGAAAACAGAGCCGTCAGAATGTGTCTCCTGTGTCATCTCAAAAGTGGGTGTGGCATGCGCTTATGCAGAGAATTTCCCTCTGCCCAGCCTCTGCCCTGGGGAAGGCGGTGACCAGTGGAGCTCCCTCCTCCATGAGGATCAGATCAAGGACTTAATGAAAAAGGGGGGCCTGGGCAGGGGCCCTGGGGAGGGGGGCTGGGAGGGGGCCTGGGCAGGTGGCCTGGGCAGGGGGTGCTGGGCAGGGGTCCAGGGAAGGAGGTGCTGGGCAGGCGTCCTGGGTAGGGATACTGGGCAGGGGGCCTGGGCGGGGGGCTGCAGGATTGCCTTTGCGTTCTTAGAGAACAGAATGAATTGCTCTGGTTGTGGTTAGTGAGCTCCAGCCATGCTGGACTACCCAGAGAGACTGGAGAGCCCCTCGGGAGGGCTCGGAGGCTCACTAGGCGAGGGGCAGTCAGCCGCAGGGGGGCCCTCAGCTCAGCCAGCGACCCTCGGCACCCCTCACCAGGTACTCCTCAGTGCCGTAGACCGACACGAAATGCTCGTCATCGCCCAGCTCCCGGGCGGCCCCGAAGTCCGTCAGCTTGTAGATGCTCTGGCCCTCCTCGCCCACCAGGCGCATGATGTTCCCCGGCTTGATGTCTCGGTGCACGACGCCGTTCTCCCGCAGGTGGTTCATGCCGGCCACTGGGACACAGGCAAGGCTGCTAGTGGCTCTGGCCGGGGACAGCCCGGCGTCGAGGCTCACCTCAGGGGAAGGCTGTCCCGGGCCCACAGAGACAGAGGGTGACAACTCACAGGCTGACTGGGCCACAGGGCCAGCGGGAGAACAGACACGGGCACAGAGCAAAGGACGAGGGTCCCAAGGATATAGGGTGTGGAGGCGCCACTGGGATTCGCTAAGAAACCAAGAGGGCTGGAGGCCCTGCCTCCCGGAGGAGGGCATTCTTCTCCCTACCTTTTTTTTAATTATTATTTTTTCAAATTGTGCTAAAATATACCTAATATAAAATTTACATTTTAACCATTTTTAAGCTTATGCTTCAGTGGCATTAAACACTATGACATTGTTGTGCAACCATCACCACCATCCACCTCCAGAACTTTGTCAAGTTCCCAAACAGGAATTCTACCTATTAAACACTCCCCTTCCATCCCCCGCATCCTCTAACCCTGAGAGTCACAATCTACTTTCTGTCTCTGTGGATTTGACTGCTCTAGGTCCCTCGTATAAAAATAAATCAGACAGTATTTGTCCTGTGTGGCAGGCTTTTTTCACTCAGCAGTGTCTTCCAGGTTCACCCACGTTATCACATATATCCAAACGTCCTTCCTTTAAAGGCTGAATAGTATTCCATTTATTATACGTATAAGCCACATTGTGTTTATCCATTCATCTGTCTGTGACATTTGGGTCCTTTGCGCCTCTTGGCTATCGTGAATAATGCTGTTGTGAACACTGGTGTTCAACCTATTTTAGATTTTACTCTTGAATTGTAGTTTTAAACTGCCGAGTTGCAGGAATCAGACCCTAGGGTTCTGTCCGTTCATTAGTGTCTGTTCTAGGCCTGTGAATGAAAAGCCTCTTATGTTTCAAGGTTCTTCTGGGTCTAGATACTTGTTCCTGAAATGCCACACCCCTCTGGGGCTTTGCTTTCGCCCGAGGGCTGGGCCTGAGGTGGGGAGGGGGCTCCCGGGTGGGAGACAGCAAGGGACTTACCCACACAGCGCAGGACCACCAGGAACTCGTCCTCCGGCAGCCCGAAGGCGTTCTCAGGGCTCTCCAGCACATTGAGCAGACTCCCGCTGGAGCAGTACTCCATCACCAGCACCTTCTGCCTGCTGCCCCCCTGTGGGTGGGATGGCGGGAGGCTTGGGGAGGAGGGCACATCTCCCCTTCCTCAAGATAGGGTGGCTCAGCCTAGAGCCAAAAGCCCCCATTCTCTTGGTCCCAGCTCCTGGCTGGCCTTCCCTCCTTGGCTTCAAACTGATCTCATACCCCTGAGCCCAAGGTCACCTTTTCCAGGAAGCCCTCTTGGATTAGGCCTTCCTCCCCATCCTTACTTTCCCACACGGCCCCCAGCCCCCTGACATTCTTTATTCCTTTCTATAGGTTGTTGCTCTGGCCAACCTGCTGGCTGACTGGCTGATGAGCCTGTGCCCAGATCTATCATTATGTGACCTCACTCTTCCCAGCCTGTGTGGGTCAAGGATAAGACCACCTCCTCTGACCAAACCCTGGACTCACCGTCTCCTCCACTGCAAAGAGCTTGATGATGTTCTGATGGTTCAGCTTCCGCAGGACCTCGAACTCCCTCACCTGCACCTCCCGGGGTCGCAGGTAGCTGGCAGTGTTGAAGACTTTCACAGCAACCAGCTCCCCAGATTTCTGCAATGGGGGATAATGTCAGTCCCACCGCTGCCCTGGGGAGATCACCTCCTCCCAGGCCTCCATTCAGCCCCTCCCACAAGCCTGCCCCCGGGGGATGCGTGAAGGCAGGCTGCCTGGGGATGGGGCTCCCACTCTCAGCTCCTTCCCCCAGTCAGAGGGTACAGAGCCGGTCCTGCAGCACTGGGAGATGACGAGAGCTTGGCCTACTTGATGCCCTGCGGGGGATGGTTTGTTCTTATTATTACTATTGCTCTTGGCAATAACTACAATGGTAGCTCACACTCCCTGGGGTTAGCAGCAAAGCTGGAACTGAATCCTGTTCTGTCTGGCTTCAGTTGTTAAGTACAGGATGGTACAGCACGTCGCGTGTATTTGATACAGCTCTCGACAAGAATGAAGGCAGGATAAATCCAAACAAGCCCTACTTCCCACCTGTGCTATTCCTAGATGCGCTACCACCGCCCCAGATGGTGGCCTGTGTCTTCATCCTTTCTCTCCAGTCCCAAACCGTGCCTGGCAGAAGCATCGCCCCAGGGAGCCCTTTTCGGATCCCCACACCTCTGCTCAACCTCAGAGTGTGCAGAACAAAGCCCAGAGGCTTCTGCCCAGCCACATAGGCCCCTGGATGCCCACTGGGGGGCCAGCTGGGCCGAGGACTTCCCGGGGGTGAGGGGGCCAGGGTGGGCTGGGCTGCATCCTACCTTGTTTCGGGCCTTGTACACACTGGCAGTGGCGCCCTGCCCCAGCAGGTCATCCGTGTGCCACAGGTAATTGACGGTGCTCTGCATCTCCTGCTCCCTGCCGGCCGACTGCCTTCTGCCCAGAAGAAGAACACACTGGGGTCCAGGGTTTCACCCCTGACCTGGGGTGAACACTGGTGACCTGACCAGTGGCTGTGCCCAGCACCACCCCGTGAAGGGCTCCATGTGGCCATTCCAGAGGCAGGGGGCAGGAGGAGTGTGAAGCACAGAAAGGTTAAGTAACTTCCACGGGGCCCTCAGCCTACAGCCCAGGCCTGGCCCCCTGCAGGACATCCTTCCTGTCCCTGCTCCCCAAGTCCCTTCCCACCTCCTCCCCAAAGAGGCATTCTCCAGAGACAAACCCTTTTCTCTGTCACCTCTCCCCAGCCCGGAGACTCCTGGGCTTTTGGCATCCAGGTCTGGGATTGTCCCAGGAGGCAGAAACAGTGCTTGAATGAAGAGCCCCGGGTCAGGAAGCGTCAACCACATCACCACAAATCTCCAGGATTGCAACATGAGCCTGGAGCCCCTCCCCACTGCTTGCTCAGGCCCACCACTTCCTGCTGTGTGAGCTGACAGGCGTCAGGAGGCCAGCACGGCCAGGTCAGCGCTTCCTGGGAGAGGAGTGGGGGGGTGGGGGGGTGGGAGGAGGCAGGAGACCGGCACATCCAAGGGCTCGGGAGCCCCCAGGAGGATCAGAAACCCCTCCACAACTCTGTTCCCCATCTTTGTCCCCATTCTCTTCTCGCCAAAGGCCAGTTCCTCTATAGCAATTGGCCCTGGAGAGTGTAGCCTCAGAAGTCAAATGCGTTGCTTATTTGAAGAAGAGGGCCAGGGCTGGTCTTGATGAATGACTGCGAGGAGCAGAGGAAGGGCCACCACCCCTTAAAGACCTTCAGGTAAGGTTGGACTAGGCAGGCCCTCCTCCTTGCCTCTCAAAGGTTGTCAACCCCAGGGTCACTGTGCCTTGAAACCCGCAGTTCCTTAGCTTTGAGCCCTCTCTCTGTTATCTTTTTTTTTTTAAACAAATGGAAACCTTGAGAATGTCCATTCCTGGAGCCAGAGGCCAAGTCAAGAGATGAGTGGTCAATCCCTAGTTTCAGAGGAGGTATCAGGGCTGGCATCTTACAGAAGCAGCTGAGGTGCTCAGGGTCTCTCTGAAGACACTGTGATGCTCAGCAGGAACGAGCTGGTGAGGCTTTCCCCTCTAAGGCTGAGGGGGAATCAGCCAGCGGGTCTGGGAGTGGGTGTGTGTTGCGTGTGTGTGTGAAGCCAGGTAGAGCATCCTGGAATCAAGGCCAAAGACCCAGCCGGGGGAGATTTCACGATCTTCAAAAATCCTCCCCAGGGCTGGTCCTGGGGCAGAGGGCAGCTGGTGTTCTGAGGAGTGGGCAGTGTGGTGCAGAGGGCAGAGCCCTAGACAGGGTGGCATGTCCTGGGCTCTGCTCCTGGCCCTGCCAGGGCTGCGCTTAGGAGCTGACTGGCAGCACATCCGGTCAGGTCTGCTCGTTCTGCGACCCCCAGCCCAGTGAAGAGCTCACTATCCTTCAGCAGTGGTTGAATGGAGGAGGGTGAGTCCTGGAGCCAGTGAGCCAGCTGCGCCTCCCACTTTCCTCCTCCTCCCTTCCTCCTCGGGGCTCTACTGTGGCCAAAAGCACTTACCCTGTGCTCTGAGCAGCCCCAGATCAGGCAAAGACTCTCCCCGGCAAGCGTGTGTTGTTATGCTTTCCGTCTGTGGCAAGTCCAGGAGCTGAGCTACACCGGAAAGAGGAGGGCGGATGAGAGGCACCCCTGGGTGCTGTTTGATACTCAGCCTCCATCAAAGGCCCCCCAGCCCCAGCCCTTTAACCCTTTCCTGTTTGTCACCCTCCTTCACAGAACTAGGGGTTTCCGGCCCAATTTCCCAGCTCCAGGAGACTTTCCTGGCCACTCCCACCACCAGAAGAGCCAGGGAAAAGGACCCCAGGAGAAGTGAGAACAGGCACCAGAAACCAGCCAGAAGAAAAGTACGGAGGCAGAGCTCAATGCTGGCTTCGGGGTGTTGGGCAGCAGAGCCTCGGAAGGGAGCATCGTAGGTGGACCACAGCTCTCCTCTCGCCACAACCCTCCCTGGGTCTCACCAACCTCCAGGATGTCCTTTGCAAGGGTGCCCACCAGAGATGGAGCACAGGGCACCTCTGGGGCGGGGGGAGGAACAGCAGCAGCAGAGAGATCCAGGGAGGAGACATAAGCTGGGAGAGCCACTGCTGACAGGTCAGCACCCCAACAGGTCTGCTAAGTGCTGCCTTGCATCTGCCGGGCGCTGGGCTCCCCCATTTACCCCCCCAACCCTCACCCCATGGACTCTGCACACTCACCCCATCTCGGCTGTGGGGCATGCAGGGTTGTGGGACTGTGTGGTGACCCCAGAGCTTTCAGGGCTTGTTGTCATTCACAGGCAGTGCCCAGAGCATCCTGGTGACCACAGGACCCGAAGACTGGGCCAGCTGAAGTGGCTGTGTGCCACCCGGGAGCTGGGAGAGCTGGGAGCAGAGGCCAACACTCAGCTCAGCTCCCAGCCGGCTCTCAGCTCTCTCACACTTCCTGATTTGGTTCTCTCTCTCTCTCTTAAAGAGACAGAGGCGGCTGGGTTACTGCCACCACCCTCTGCAGGGAGGAGAAAGGGGATGCTCTGATTTCCCAAGTAGAGGCGACAGGACTAGGGTTTGAGCCACCAAGAGGCCAAGAACTAAGGCCGAGTGGCTGTGGTGGGCCGCGGGGCGCTATTTCTGTATCTCCCGTGGTTCACTGGAGCAGGGAAGTTCAGAGCTCAGCCCAGCGTCTATAGAGCAGGTTGGGCCAGTTAACCAAGTGGACAGATGCCTGGGAAAACCAACTTCCGACACCCAGGAACCCCAGGAAGGTCCAGGACCTGTGACCAGCCACTTCGAGGAGAAGTTGGATCTGACTCATCTTCCTAGTGAGCCCACAGAGGTCCAAGAGCAAGCACTAGAACCCAGGTCATGCCCTCCAGCATGACCTTGAGCACAGCTCACGACCCCTCCCAGACAGTTTTCTTACCTGAGGCACAAGGATGGTCACACTCACTCCACTAATTGTGGTTGACATGGGACAGGATATTTGGAAATGCTTGGGAAACTAGGAAGAGCTTTACAGACAGGCATGGAAGGCAGGCGAGGAGGCGCACGCAGCTTCAGTAATTTGCCCATGACCTTCAGAGATTGCTAGGGCTGAAACCCAGGTGTGCCAGCTTCCCAGTCAGGACTCACTGCTCCCAAGTCACATTTCATGGGAGGCCTAGAGAGGTTGGCTCTGCTCCTGGTCAGCTCCAAGACGGCAGCTGGATAAGAAATGGTTAAAGCTAGGAAATTCCACGTTTCAATAGAAAGTTGGAGGGACTTTCCCAGGGCCACACCTGGTGGCTTCCTCTGACAGCCCCACCCCTAGCACAGTGACACCAGAGAGGGAGCCCTGCTGAGAACCGCCTGCCTCGTGCTCACACAGAGACACTGGCTGATAGGCCACGCCCCCTCCAGCAGCCAGAGCTGCTGGGCTCGCCACCCAGAGGTGCTGCCCTGCTGTCTCCCGCAGCAGGACCATGAGGAACGTCCCTCAGCTCCTCCTGCTCTGCACCCAGGATTCCCAGCCTACCCCCTGCCCAGCATATGGTACAACTGCACTTCCTTAATACCCTCCGATTCTTAATCGTGTGATTTCTTAACCAAAGCAGGTAATTGCTGATGCAAGGCACCCTGCTCCCGCCACGCCACACCCCTCCTCTGACAGACAGTGTGATTCTGTTTGACTTGGTGACTGCCCTTTCAGTCTGGGTCCCTGAGTGACTGCCGGGCAGAGGCCCCCTGCTGGCCCACAGGGGATCTGTAGCTTTAGTGAGAAATCGAGCTCTGCAGTTGTTAAGCCACTGAGATCTGCCACCTAACACAGCCCATCACGCAAGCTCTACGCATTCCCCGCGATGAACCTGCTCGGTCCTCACTGGCACCCCTCCTCTGCTCTCCCAGAGCAAGCCCAATCTCTTTTTCCCAGGGTCTTAAGCACCCTCAAATGCAATGACTGTGTGTCCAGCACCTCCGAGGAAGCAGGCACTGTGTAATGAGGACACCAAGGGGAGACGCAGTCACCTCCCCAGGAGCCGGTGTTCGGGACAGCATGGCGAGCGCTGGGAGATATATGCTTCAGCAGGTGATGATTTTGTGAACCTGGGGGACAGCAGGGAGTGGGGATGGCTGATGATCCCGAAGGGCTTGCCAGAAGGAAGGATGCTTGATCAGATTTTGGAGGGAGGAGGGTTCAGAGGAAAAGAGGGAGTCAGAATTAAGGCATTCTGTGCCGTGGGAACACACGCAGAGGCACAGGGGGAGGAGAAGAGAATGAGCAGGTCAGGGTACCACACAAGGCAGGGCTTGAGAAGAGGGGAGAGGCGGGCGGTGAGCTGGTGTGCGGTGACAGGTCACGCCTGGCTGGACACCCTCTGTGAGGTCACGGCCTCCGTGTGGACAAGATGAATGGATGTCTGGCCTGTGGTTTTGCGCCGCTGCCAGTCCCAGCTGGGCAGCACGGCCACTGTCTCACTGAGGAGGCGCAGGAGCCGCGCTCGCTCCTGCAGGGAGGAGGAAGTCCGTGAGAGGCGCCACCACAACTTCCTGAGTAGCTCTGAGGAGTCCTAGAAACAGAAGTGGCAATTCACAGGTAGGACAAGGGCCAGAGGTGGGGATGGGGCGGGTGGGGAGGTCTTTGATGGCTGCTCTCAGGGAGAAAGCTCACGTTTGCCTTCTCCAGAGGGAGGCCGAGTGGTGTCGGAGGAAGGGCAGGGCGATGCAATCAGAGAGGTTTAGAGTCCTGACGCCTTGAGCAAGTGCCTTGAGCAAGTCACTCAAACATTCTCATCGATTTGGTGTGAAAACCAAACGAGATGCAGTGCCTGCAACCTGGGAGGCCCAGAATCAATCCTAGCTACCTTTTCTGCCCCTATGTGGCTTGGGCCTGCTTGTCACAGCCGCTTCACCTGTCCAGTGCCTTAAAGGAGCAGAGAAAGGACGAGGGCCAGTGGGTGTGTGGGAGGTGGGCAGCACGTACTCACCACGCTGGGCATTTCTGAAGGGCTGAGTGGTGAGCTCTCAGAGCCCCGCTCCTCACCCCCTGCACCAGTCATCTCTGGCCAGGAGCTTTGGTGGGGAAGGAGGGATAAGGCTGTGTCCCTACCTGGCACGACCCCCCGGGCAGTGGGAAAAGATGCCGTGGGCGAGGCAGCAAGCCACTTGTCTGGCTTTCTTGGTATGGAAATGTATTTCACTCATTCTCTTCATTCTTCAAATCTCTTACTCCCACGCTCTTGGCTAAAGGCTCTGCCTTCGGCGTCACAAAGAAGTTTGATCACAAAGAACTGATCAAAAGGGAACTCCTCATCTTCTTACCCCACATCCACTGCCTGCCTCCCTTCCCATGAGACTGGAGGAAGCGCCTCTTGGGCTCCGGCCGGCCCCTCCACTCGTGTGCTCTGTAATTTACCCTCTTCTGCACAGTCCTTCTCATCCTACTGGGTCCTGCCCTTGGGCAAATGTGCCTTGACATTGTCCATTTTGAAAACAAAACCTGGGCCCTGGGCCCTGGACCCCTTTTGATGCTCATCACTGAAAGCAGACTTTTGAGTATGAAAATGAATATAAGTACACTGTACCGTACACCAGAAACTGACACACTGTAACTGACTGTGCTTCAATTAAAAAAAAGAAGCCTTTGAATGAGCTGCCAAGGGTTTGCCCCTTTCCTTCCTGTGTGCTGCCCCACCCACTCCAATCAGCTCATCTCCCCTCTCCTGAAAGTGTTGCTGTCCAGTTACCTTTCTGGCCTCATCTTACCCCACAGGCGTTTAACAGCTGACCCTCTTTGTGGAAACATCTTCTTCTCTGGGTTTCTGTGACCCTGTGCTCTCTCAGCCACCTATCTCTGTCGCTCACTCCCTCTGACTTCTTTGCTGGCTCCTCCTTCGCTGCAGGATTCCTAATTGTCAGGACCTTCTCTTTTTTACATTTATATATTCTTCCCAGGACTCTCGCAGTTTGAATACATCTCTAATGGAATAGCTCCCATTTTCAGGTATGTTCTGTCCCTAAAACTCTATCTTCATATATCCAAGAGTTTGATATTTCCACTTGGCTGTCGAATAGTCGTCTCAACCTTTCCAGGCCAAGCAGAATTCTTGACCTACCTGTCCTAATCCTTCCCCCAGGCACTCACTGTCTTATTACATCATTTCATTTTTAGAGTAGCATTTATTTTGTTTATTTAGCTGTTCTTCCTGAAACTAGAAAGCTCTGTTATCTGTTTCTCCGGTTCAATATTGTACGACAGAGCTTGACAGACAATGAAGTTTAATTGACTGGCATATGCAGCATGCAAGGGTTTCTAACTGAGTAAAAGGAAACTTCACATGCCTATGGGTATAAACATTAGGTTAGATAAACATAAAGACTGCTTCCTAAATTCAGACCCACCCGGTCTCCTCTTTTGGTTTCTATCTGGATTGAAGGGATCTCTGTTTGACTGTGTTCATTGTCACTTGTTTCCAGCAAGCTCCCATCAGATACATGAGGAGAGAGGACCCAAAAAGAAGAGCCCGCCTTTGCCTTCGGATGCCCAGAAAAGGTGCGTGGGTCCTCTGCTCACAGCTAAAGCTAAAGCACTAGCTCCATCTCACAGCTCGTCAACTACCCTCATCCACGGCATAGGGTAGCGTTACAGCCTCAGCTCTGACTTATCCAAGACCAAGCACCCAGCAAGAGATCAGAGAGGAGCTCTGCCATTAACGTGAGGGAGGAGACGACAGGTTGGCAGGGCGCCAGAGAGCTGAATACAAAACGCACAAATAACAGATGGCAATGCCAAACCTAGGAGAGGAGGCAGCGTGTCTGTTCAAAGGCTAGGGGTAGAATTCCTTGCATTTCCATCGAACACTGGGTACTCCCTTGGGTATGAGATGTGATCCACGCCCGGGGGCCTCTGGGATTAGAATAAGCCCACTAAATGTAAGTGTGGGCCCTAGGATGCATTTCAAATGATTACCTTTGAATAACTTCACCCTGGAACTTATGATCTGCCAGAATCAAAATCTAAAGGAGATGGGGGACTGTACAGCTCAGTGGTAGAGTGCCTGCTTAGCATGCACAAGGTCCTGAGTTCAATCCCCAGTCCCTCCATTAAGAAATAAATAAAATAAATAAATGAAATTACCCTCCACCCCCCAAAAAATTAAAAACAAAAATCTAAAGGAGAGAAGGCAGTCCCTGTCCATCCCCTCCCCACCCCCGTACTCAACACCAGCAGCACAAACACACAGGTCAGCTGCCCTCCCAGAGGTAGGGGGCTGCCAAGGGCAGAATGACCCAGGGCTTTAGTTGCGGAAGAAATCAAACCTTCAGTTACCCTTGGCTGTGGCTGGCAAAGCTTCCCAGCGACTTCGTGGGCTCCACTCCAGCAAGTGGGGAAATCTGACTAGAGACAGAAATGACACCAGTCCTCACTGAAAACAGGGCAGGCAGATTCTGAAGGACATGGTTCTCATGGCAACAGGCCGCCCAGTGGTGAGCTGGGAGGCTTAGGTTCCACACATGGGCTAAATGGAAATGCTGGGGGGGGAAGAATCCACGTTCTAAATACACTCTGCCGCATCTTGCTGCGGGAGAAAGAAGATGGTTGGCTCCTCAGGTCACCCCATCTCTCCTTCTGTTGCCAGGCAGGGCTCCGTGACCACAGACGAATCAAAATCCCTCCTGGGCAGTGGGACTCCTGGATTGGAGATTTCAGGGCGTTGGAGAAGGGATATAAACTGCAGCATCGAAACCTAAAAACGTATTTTATTTCGAAGTTGTGCTTTGGATTTTCCCCAATCCAACATCTGTTGAGTGACAGTCTTAGGTTCACACAAAGCATCGCCAAGCATACATACAATATTCCAGTTATCAACACTATTTTTAAAGAATATACCGTTTTACACAGACGTGACATACAAGTCAGACGCCATAACATTGCAATTGCCTGGAAGACCTAACTTCTCTTCTGAGCGTGAAGTTCATGTACACCAGCCCTTCCAGGGGCCTGTTCATCCCGTTGCTGGCGTCGGCTCTGCTCATCTCTTTGGGGAGAAAACCAGGGCGCCCTGAGGAGGCTGGCTGAGACCAGTGTTTCCAGTTTACAGGCTGCTGGCTGCAAACTCCTCTTTTTTCCAAACTGGGATGCTGGGAGCCCCACCCCACCTCTGCCGCCCAGTGACTGACCCATCTGAGTCCACACCAGGAAGAGGAGGCAGAGTGGGGCTCTCTGAAGCATCATGCTGGTTTAGGCAGACATCTCTGAGGAAGACTGGTCTCCCTAGGCCCTGGGTGGCCAGCTCTGTTTGGCTTCTCGGTGTAAAAATCACAGTGTGCAACCTCGATTCCAGTTGATTGCAATGAGCTCTGCCGAGAAGAACTCTCCTCCGAGGGTTCCTCGTCCTCTCGACAGGACCGTCTCACAGGTGTCAGGAGCACCAGAGAGGGGAAGACAGCTCAGCTCCCAGCGCGGGGCGGGGGAGCAGGTGACCACTCACACACTGTCCAGTTCATGATGCCAATCAGCAGACGGACACTGCCCGAGGGGACGGTGAACGCAAGTCAGGTACAGGGCTGGAAGAGAAATGAGGCAGAAGCAGCACAACAGGCCCCAGGTGCTGTCGTTAAGGAAGGTCTGCCTTTACCTTCCTAGAGAAGGATGTGCTGGAGGGAAGGGAGAAGGGCAGGTATGGACACCAATCTGGACCAGTCGGATCAAAAGGAATGTAAAGTGAAGGGTGGGGCTTCATTTTCAGCGAGGAAACAGATCCTTGGGGATGAAAGCCCCCGCTGGCTCGGGACCTGTGGAAGTCCAGGGGACACACAAGGACAGGCCACTAAACAGAGCAACAAAAGCCAAGAATTCAGAAGACTGCGGGTCGCCCCTCACAGGTGGCCTCACTCACTGAAGCTCTTCCTCTCTCCCTTCCAGCTCTTGGGATGGTTTTCCTGGTGTTGCGGGCTGCCCTTCTGGTTGGTGATGACCCATAAAGCCCCCCATTTCCCTCACACAGAGTGAGGGAAATCCTACCGTTCCCCAGAGCCAACTACCGACTTCAGAATGTTGGACCAAAAAGGATCTTCTCGGCCAAAGATAAGAAAACACAGATTTTCCTATCGGAATGGCAACCAACTCTCTCTCCTGAACTGTGGAAAATAAGGCCAAAAGCATAGCTTTAAAACCAGAAAACAGGGAAGAGGAATAGGTTTCAGTTTTAACTCAAGTAGTTGTCTGAGACCCGTGAGCCTGGGGTGTGACTGTACCCAGCGGGGTACTCCTGGGACAGCATGGTGCCAGGGGAGCTGGGGCCACGGACACCAGATTGAGAGTGAATTATTAAAGCAGACTAGGGTATCATTTTTGCTTTGTGGAGGTGAACCAGAAAAAAAGGCCAAAGGAAGGCCAAAATATTCAGTATCCAATTTTTTATTTTCTTAGGTTCAGGCCTTAGAAAGACTTTAGAGCACCTGGGGCCAAAGTTCTATTAGTTGTCCTTGTCTGGATAAATGAAAACCAGTTTTAAGGGGCAGCGTCTCCCTTTATCTAACTAGGGCTCCCTAAGCCCCCGTTGGTCCCGGAAGAGAGACCTTGTAGATTAACCCAACTGCGGGACAAACCTGGAATCAATTTCCATTTGGGAAGAATTTTAGGGTTAGCAAAGATGAATTTAATTTTCGATAGGATAATGAATTTTGCCTTAAGTACCCAAAAAAGTGGGAGGAAGAGCACCCATTTCTTACCTTTTCCAAACCTGCCATAAACACAATAAAACTCTCTTAAGACTCTTTACTCTAAAAGGAACCGACTATAAAACTGTCTTATACAGGAAAATGTCTTAAATGGAAAATGGTCCATCAGAGACAAAGATAGGAACCCGAGAAACGTCTATACATTCAGAAAAACTTTCAAAGTTCCGTAAGATCGGGGTGTAGTTCTAGAGGATGGAGGAGGGCAAAAGCAAACACCAATGACCAATTCACACCAATAGAAAGAAGACAAAGCCCCCAACCCCCAACACATTACAGGATTGAGTCCCGTCCTGTTAAATGTCACGTGGTGGAGAGATGTCCAAGGCTAGGCTCTCCGCCCAGACAGAACAAGATTTGTAACGGAAACAGAGACCTCTGGTGGCTCCTGTGTGAACTGCCACAATAACTTACAAAGAGACTGGTCTATCTAGGACCAGGAGAGGCTACACATGCCAGAGACTAGAAAAACTTACGTGTGTATGTATGTATGTGTGTGTGTGTATAAAATGGAGAATGGACTGTGTATGATTCTCTGTAATCAGTACCCAAAACAAGATGCCACTGAGAGCTGGCTGTCGGCAGCCAACCATCTGGGCAGGCATCCCCTGTGTCTGCGGGACTGAGGCTTCAGCCACGGCCCCATGACTTGCCTTGCCAGATTTCACAGTGACCTGATAATGGAAAAACCTATCTCCGGCTAGCCTAAGAACAGTATGTACTGTAGCTGGCTGGATTACGACAATGAGGGGGTGGGGGGCAGGGGGCTGGGGGAAGGGAGGGGAAGGGCAGGGCGATAACGAGGGCTTCATTCTCAAGGTTTTGGGTGATGGGAAGGCTAATTCCTGCAAGAACAACTTAGAATCTAATTTTCAACCGAAGTCCCCAAGCTAGTTAAATAGGAAGATTTTAATAACAGTCAGTCCCTCCAGTCCCCTTGTCAAGAACAATTAAATTACATCCCTCAGACAGTACAAGACTTGTCAGTGGACTGTGGGGAGGCTGAGGAGTTGACGCCGGGGCTAGTGGCATTGGTTTTGGGGAAGACAGTGGGCTTGGGCCGCGTGGCTGGTGGCTTGACCGGGGCCGCCACCTTGACGGACTTAACAGGCCGGAAGGCGCAGGCGATGTCCCCAGCAGTGCTGGCACTGCGCTGGAAGGCGGGCTCGGGGTCCTTGAGGAGCTGGGTGTGCAGGGGGCTGGAGGGCTCCGACGTGGGGGCCACCACGGGGGACGTCTTGAGGGGCTCCAAGGTGTCCAGGACCACGTCCGGGGTGTGTTTGACGCTGCTCTGCCGCTCGAGCTCCCGCAGCTCGTTCAGGGCGGAGTTCATAGTCGCCTCGATGTCCTGCGAAACGGGAGGAAGGAGGAAGTGAGGCACAGGCAGCGAGAAGTCCCCCGGGGTCCTACTTCAACAACATGGGCCAAATCATGAAGAAGCCAACAGTAAGGAGATGCCAGATGTGTTGATGAGGCCCAAATTCTTGAACATGTGGATGTTCGGAACGTGAGAGACGGAAGACAAAGGGATTTTCATCATCATGAGGTTTTTTTTTTTTTAACCCCGCCACTTTACATAGAGTGGTTGAGATGTTTTTGAAATAGTGTCCTCAGGGTTTAGATATGTGCACTGATGTGTTTTTGGACGAGATGACATGTAGTCCAGTGGGGAGAGGAAAGGTGGATGGACTTGGCGTGATCAGGAGTTTGGTCACGAGGACGTGGGATCCATTACCCAATTCTCTCTACTTCTGTATATGCTTGAAACTGTACATAATAAACTTTTTTTTTAAAGTAGTAGAGGTGAAATATGAATTTTATTATTTTGGACTTCAAGGCCAAAGGTTAAGAAAGGTTAAGAGGGTTAGTCCTTCCTCCTCAGGGGTTGAGGGAAGGTTCAGGAGTCTTGGCCCTGAGGATTCATCAGGATGCTGGCCCCCACCCCACCCCATCCGAGTGCCCATCTTGATGAAGCCATTTCCTTCTACCCATCACCACGAGAGGGGGCCAAGGAGTGACCAAGAGAGGGAGCCAGAGCCCACAAAGGTGAATCTCCTGCGAGTCACAATGGAACACGCCATAGCTTAGGAACAGCAGTCCTAGCTCAGGGGCTCAAGGCAGAACCAAAGACCCTTTGTATGCAGCCAGCGGCCTCCCAGGGAGACCTCCCAGCCCCTTCCCCACCTCCCCACTCACTTTGTCTGGCGCCCCCAAAGCTACCACAGGATTCCTCTCTTGGGATTAAACTCACATTGAAAGACTGCGTGTTTCAAGCAAAGGCCCCTGGTTAAGGCTTCTTTGTCTTACAGGGTGATCCATGCTCTCTGCTGACAGGGGTTCAATTTCACTCATCTCTCTGATGCTCTCAAACCTTAAAAATGCTCAGGAAGAACTCCATCTCCTTCCTCAGTCCTGCTCTGCAGCTGGAGTCTGTCCCCGCTGTGTACCTGTTCTGACATTCCTATGAACACCGGGCCAAAGAGGGAGCTGGGAGGATTCCCGTGGTGTCAGGCAGATTGCAGCCAAGAGCTTAAGGAGAGGCACAGCAACAGAAGGCCAGCAAAGCAAGACATCTCAGGCCCGTAGCTTAATACTGTGCTTGCCAGGTTCACCTTCCCTAAGCAGAGCACCACAATTAAGCCAATAGAGACCACACCCAGCCTCTATTGCCCCCTCCAAGCTGGGGTAAGGATCATCTCAACTCGGTTGAGACATGAAAGGGTAACAGTGAGCCCTTGGTTCCTACCTGGTCTAATGAAAATTATAGAGTTGGGAGAGACGTCTGAGTGAACTGCTTGGAGTGGCCCCGGAAGTCGGATTTTTAGAGGTGGGGTTGGATCTCTAATGTTTCATGGAAAATAGAGACTTGTCAGTGTGGTGCATACACCAAAGGAAGATCCTGTAACCAGGATACTCAGCTCCACTGCCTCTGGAGACTTGGGCTGGAAACCCTTCTGGTACCCAAGCCCCGGGGGGCAGAGTAATTTGGGGCCTTCAAGACCAGGAGCAGACTGATCACTGGTCGATCACTAGGCCCCAGAGCTTAGCCTCGGGGATGATGGGACTGGCACAGTGATATGGAAGTGCGGCCAGAACTACCGCTGAGCCTCACCACTTGGGCAGCTTCACTGAAGCCTACCAGGGTCTCAAGACCTGAAACTCAGGCTGAATGGATTCTATCAAAAATATGCTATCTGTAACTACTGGCTTCCAAAACGACAGCAGCCCTGCAAATAGTCCGTACATGAGCAAGAAGCCTGTATTCTTTTATTCTGTCTAAGTTCTTCTTGGGGAGAGAGGGATCAACAGATTTCTTGGAAAGCTGTCTTATCAGGTCTAGATGTCCATCAGTCCCTGAAATCGTTGGATAATGTACAAAGCACCGTTCTGTTTCAAGTCCTGTCACAATTAGCATGGGCTGCACTAAGCAGTTGTGACCAGTGTAGACTCATTGGAGCTGTTCATCCAAGAGCCCCCAGTTACCTGTGCAATGACCTCGGGGTCCATGGGCCGGTGGTTATTGAAGCTTTTTGACCTCCCTGCTGTCACCGTCTTCCGGATCTGGGGACTGTCTAGCCGGTTCTTCAGGGAGGAGTGGCGGCTGATGGAGTTGAGGCTTCCGTGCCCACTGATAGAACACTTATCTGGCCCTTCCTTGGGGAGGCTCTGGCTCATGATGGGCTGGGAAGATGGGCGGCAGCCAGCCCCCACCCCGGGGAGGCGGAATCAGTCAGGGAACTGCTCAGCCCATGGCTGTCGCTCCGAAACGTTTTCCGGATGCTCCCAGATTCCGGCCGCTTCCTTTGCCTTTAATGACAAACAGAAAGGGCAGTATGATCAGGCAGCCTTGGCTCCGAGGAAGCTAGGACGAGTGAGAGGGACAGATGGTGGCACCCAGGGGCTTCTGCAAGGAGAGGACACAGGGCACGTTCCCTCCTGTTTCACCTGCCCGTGTTTTCTCCAAGTCTCTGCCCACCTGCCACCCCCGACCTGGACAAAAGAGAAATGCATACTTACTTGGTGGTCGTGGGCTTTGAGGTCTCAAGATGTAAGGTGCTGTCAGGAAAAACGTCTGGTTAAGCAAAAGTTTCTAACAGGAGACAGATTCACGGAAAGGCACCCTTATTGCCTGCTTTGAACAGCAACCAGGCCCCAGGTAGGAGAAAAATTCTCACCGTTGCCAAGGAGGCAGGGAATTGCTGGTAAGAGGAGAGTTGACTTTCCCAAAGTTTAAGCATGTTTCCTAGTCCACTTACAAAACTGGAATTATTTTGGACTTTGGCAAGAAGCTGTTTATCACTTATGCTGCAGACATGGAACAGAGTATTTTTCAAGAGGCTGCAATGCTGCAACGTGAGGGCCAAATTTGTGCATTTCCTGGGGTGGAAATACATCTTGTGACCCCATGCCACCCAGCATGGGCTGAACCCTGGCTCTGGGACAGTTTATTTCAGACCATTATGGCTCTCAGATGAAATGGTTTGGCAGAGTCTTATCCGTATGGGTGTTGCCCACTGCAGAATAATTTCATTCTCTCTTGTAATCAGATTCTAAAGGACCTAATCTAAGAGGCAATGAAACTTCTGGTTTGGGAGTGCAGCTGGGCAGCTCTGATCTCGAATCTACTACGGTCCACTGAGGCTGAGGCGGGAGCTGAGGACAGAAGAAGGAAAGGGGTAGGACCTGAAGATTGGGAGCTCATCCTAGTAGCAGGGCCAGGTTTCTAAGCCAGTCCTGGTCCTGTTCTCTGGGAAGGTCTTCCTCTGTATACATCCCTGGGACCAGGTTTGGCATCTGACGCATAGTAGCCACTCGGTGAGGCTGCCTGCTCCATGGCTTTAGTCTTGGGTGTCAGCCATTCTCGCATGGATAAAGGATGTTCTCAGAGTCTTACAAGACCCAGCTAGAGTGACTTCTCTTCCTCTGCAAATTCTTCCTCAGCACCCACCCTCATCAGCAGGCAGACTCGATCACTCCCCCGTCCGTCCCTACAGGACATCAATGGCACTACTTATTAGTCCCCTGTCTATATGGTATTCACCTTGCCAGACTGTGAGCTCCGAGGTCAGGAGTCATCTTATTCCTCTCTGAAGAACCAGCACAGGTACTTGGCACAACAACAGGTGCTCAATAAATGCATGGAACTGAATTGAAGCGCCACACCCTAATAACTCTTTGCCGATTTCCTTTTTCCACTTGAGGAGGGCTGACTCACCAAGGCAAAACTGCTGAGGAGGCAGATTTATGGAGTGGCTGTTAGGGGCCAGGCCCCGGGGATGTGGAGGCAGGAAGACAAGAGTTCCTGGTTTCAAGGAGCTCAGCCTGGTAGGGATCCAAGTGCAGCTTGAGTCCTGAGGCTGCTTTCGGAATTCAAGGGCGCCTAATGCAGCCCTGAGGCACTCAGGGGTGTCAGGAAGGCTTTACCCGAAGAGGCACATCTTCGGATTGAGTCTTGAAGGGACAGGAGTTGACCAGGTGAGGAGACAGCAGATGAGGAGGTCCAGGGGTGAGACAGAACCTGGGGGGCACTCAGGAAAGAGAAGGAGCTTGGGAGGAGTGCTGTGTGGGCTGGAGGCACGGCTGGAAGGCAGGGTCAGTCCTAAGGGCAGAACATGCCCAGGGGCTGCCGCTCACCCACCGACCTGCCGGCGTCCAGGCAGAACGTGTCCTGCAAGACCTCATCCTGATTCCACGGAGCAGGGAGTTCACGGGAACCACCCTGACTTTCCACCAGATGTTCATCTTCTGACTAGTCCAGCTATTACTCTACAACTGGCAACAAATACAAGATGGCTTAAAAAGTGTGTACCTAACTAATCATCTACCTCTCCCTTCACCGACCCCACCTTGGTTTCTGGGTTAATTACAGGCTTACCACCTTCTGATTATAGGCTTATAATTGATGTAGACTTCTAAGTAAGGAAGAAAATGTGATTAGCCCACAGTTAACTTTTTACTAGCTTGCCCTCCCAACAGGGCACTATGCTGGAGGGAAGTGACTAAAATTCTCAGTCTTTTATTTATTTTTTTTAACCAGTCTGACTTAAATTATAACTACAGTGACTAAGTGAGCTGAATGGGCGACTTTACTATCTAGAGGGCGAAAGAGATGGAAAAGAGCCACGTGCCCCAACCACTCCCCCTGCTACCGTCTGGTTGGAAAAAAGCCAAGAGATCTGGGCGACCTGGTGCAGTTTCAAAACAACAAGCATCTTTTATTCTCCTTCCAGTTTCAGTGTCCAGAGGCTATGGTTAACAGGTTTTCAATGTGCAAATCATTTCATTCCTCCAAAGCCAGAGGGGAATAAAAACTGTACATCATCTCCAATCCATATTCATCAGGAGTGCCCTGGGGCTCGTCATCCTGCTGGCTCTGGGCCAGGTTTCGGGGTCTGGCGGAAAGAGGTCTGTAGGCTTTGGGACTTGGTGTCTGGCCCCTTGAGATGAGATTAGTTCTCCAATAACCTGAATGTCTCTAGGGGAGGCAGCAGCACACAGGCGTGGAATCCCTCTAGACGGCCAGATCGGGTGTGGGTGGAGTTAAAACCCCAGGATGTTGCTAATAGCCACAATGAAAGCTAGGGGGCAGAGCTATGAGCCTGCTGGACACAAGTGGGAATCTGCAAAGGGACCGATAGGGAAGGATAATACACAGGGCTAAAGCAATGGGGGAAAAATGGCAAATTATTTCTACTGGTGTGAAAGGGCAGGGGGAAGGGGAGCTGGGGGTTAGACAATGAATAGAGAGCTCAGGACAAAGCTTTCCTGGAGGGAGCAGTGGGCTCCTTTCCTCCGTGGGAGCGAAGGCAGGATGAAGGAGAAAGAGACATGTGATATCTACATAAACCGTCTTGGGTAACACAAGCCTGGTAGAAGACACATGAGACTTTAGATCTTCGGACAGACAAGGGCCAAGGAAAACATCAAAGACTATTATTTGAGTCCAAATTGGAAAAAAGAAGGCACCTTTGAGAAACAGTACAGAACCAAGTTGCACGAAGTTACTGGCCAAAATTTTAGCAGTCAGATGGCCTGGAAGGTCTGAGCGGACAGACGCTGTGGGGACAGAGAGGCACACCCGTCCTCAGCGTGACTGCCACTGGCCGGACCCCTGGGCCTGCCGACGAGGCCTCTGGATGTTTCCTCGGCCCTGTCCGCCTTGCAGCAGCCACGAGCACATGCAAGATGTTGGGTCGAGGTGGGGCCGGGGGTCCTACGTGCAGTACAGGAATTGGGGGGGACGGTTAGGCCAGAGGGTGAGGCTGGGTGTTGCGAGTCATTCAGGGGAGCAGAAAATGAAAAGCAGAGCTTACTTGTTGATGTTTGCAAGATAAATATCAGCTACATGACCCCCACTGGGACAGCTGGCCCCCGCTCTGGCTGTCACCTTTTCTTCAGGTGGCTCAGAAATGACCTCAATCTCAGACTTGGGGCTGGACCTCTCCACGACACCGTCCTCGCTGGGGGAGAAGGGGCAGGCAGGCAGGCAGGAAGGGGAAACAACAACACAAAAAGCAGTGTTAAATCGGCAAGACGGCCCTCCCGACACAACGCGACCCCGCGATGGCTTGGAGGCAGCGGCAACGCCTGGCTGGGCTAGCTCTGGGAGCGCAGGCGAGGAAAGCTACGGGCCTTTGGAGGGGCGTTTAAATAGAAATAAATAATCCTGTTGAGTTCTGCGGGATCCTCAGCTCCTCCGGAAAGCTGGGCTAGGGGACACCTGGATTCGAGGCATCTGCCTTTTACCCCCTCGCTGCTTTCCTGGGGCAGCTGTGCTGGGCCACCTCCTGCAGGAGGAGGCAGCTGGTCCAGGTGGCGGTTTATGTGCTGAGGTCCCGAGCACGGCTGGGGGAGGACAGTCGGCTCTGCCGTGGCTCTGGAGATGCCGGCGTTGAGGCAGGACACCGCCACACTCTGTCGTAGGGCATCCAGCCCCGCTTAAGAGCGTCCAAGCCGGTCCCACGTCTCTCCACTGCTCTCCTGGCCCCTCTGGCTACTGATGACAAAGAAAGCCCCTTCTCCCCCACCATTCATCTTCTCTCGGTCCCGCAGTGAAGTCATAATGCTAAATTTGGGAGGGTCCTGTCCACACACAGATGGCCACCAGGGATGCGATGTTATCAACAGAGGGAGGATCTCCCTGCAGAACGAGCTGGGGAGAGGCTGGGAGGGTGCAGACTCATTCAGGATATCAACCTTTAAGAAATGATATTAAGGGAAGGGCTAAAAACAGAGAGCATCATATCCAAGGGGAGGGAGGCAGGGGCAGAGGCAGGCAACGTGGCAGGGAGGCAGGTTTTGGGGGCCACAGGTAAAAGCCTTCTTGCCCGGGAGACATCGCTTCAAAGCGTGGGAACCAACTGATGAATGCGATGAAGTCTTTCTGGGACCAGTCCATGTTCCCTGTGTTCCCTGACATCCTTTCCCTTCCTCTCCCCTATCTCTTCCCAGGTCAACCTCATCTGGGTTAAATGAGCTGGTTATTTCCACAGGGCTGCTTAAGCTAGACTTCTAGAAAATGCGCTCAACATTTTCATTTGCAAGTAGGAAAGCGCCATTAGCGGCCCAGCAGGTTGGGGTGAGCATAGTTGTTTTTAAAAAAAGAAAGAGAAGTCAAAATGTTTTCCCAACCTGATCTTTCCAGAAAGGCAATACAGGTGGTCAAATAATAAGCCTTCATTATCACTCATCAGGTGTTAAGTGTGGATGAGCGCTGGCTGGCAAGTTTCTAAAATGACAAGGGGTGGGGAGGGTGGTGGAGATGCGACTGGCAGTGGAGAGGTTAAAAAACAATTCTCCACCGAGTCTGGGGACCTTTCAAGGAAACTGAAACTTCAGGACTGCGTTGGCGCCCCCTAGGGGTTGCTCTCCCTCATTCTCCTGGGCTCCAGAAATGAAGTCTCACTCCCACAGTGCAGCCAGGGACCCCTAAAGGTGCAGGGGACCCAACGTACGTGTCCTGGACCACGATGTACTGATGGGGGATGAGTCCGTCGATGCCGTTGTGCCGGCCTTCCCACCAGTCGTCGGAAGCCCGCTGGTAAAGCAGCAGGGATGCCCCCTTTTTGAAGGACAGCTCTCGAGCTGTCCGGCCCACGTAGTCAAACTTGGCAATGGCCTCGATGGGCTCACACTCTGAGAGGGGTGGAAAAGAAGGAAACACATGTTGTTGGGACTCAGTGACTCAGGAAACTGGGCAGAAAAGTTCAATTATCTGAACTTGCAGTGGGGGGAAGACAACCCAGTGTGAAAATAAGTCATGAATGATCTATAAAGCAGATTCCCATGCAGACGGTGTAGCTCCCTGAAAGGACTCATATGCTCTTCCTTGTCTTTGCTCATGCTGTTCCCTCCACCTGGAATCCGCCTCTTTCCCACTTGCCTGATGGAACACACTGAATCACAACTCAAACATCACCTGCTTCCTGTACTAATTTCCTTGGTGTTTCCATAGCTCTTATGCCAACCCCTATCATCGAACCTGCCAGGCTGTATTTGTAAGCATTACTTCCTTTCTGACTATAAAATAATTCCATTAACTTAGAACTCTTATATTGTATTTTAAATAACTTATTTATGGTATCCAATCCCCCTACTAGAACATGGGTTTTAGTCTCTATAAAAAGAAAAATAACTTGCCCAATCAATCAGCTTTCCGAGGAGCAAAATACGGAAATATATTTTGTGGACACTATATGGAAAAATGCACATGCAAGTGACTTGAAAATTTAAAAGGGGTTTGCAAAGGTAATGTAGTTTACTTTTGTGTGAGAGTTCATATCCTCATCTGTAAAATGGGGATAACAATAATGCTTTTTTCATGGAGTTGGCATGAGACGTCAACAAATAACAATTCGTAAAAGTGCTCAGAACAGGGAGGGCCCAGCTTAAGTCTATGTATGTGTTAGCCATGATCATTATTGTCACCATTGTCATTATTGGTGCTGGGCTGCAGGTAGAGGTGAGAGAGCAAAAAGAAGACTCCTAGAAACCGGGAAACTGAGGTTAAAGTCAGATATATTCTGAGCAGTAGAGAGAAAGGCTGCTTGCAAACAAGATTACATCCAGACAGCCGGGGCTGGTGGGACAAGATAGCCGGGGCTGGTGGGACAAGACAGCCGGGGCTGGTGCATCTGCACCGCAACGGGCAGGGATGCAGACTTCAGTACCCAGGGCCTGTCTAAACATCCCAATTTCAGGTCCGTACAGCCTCGGGTATGTCACTGGACCTCTCTGGCCTCAGTTTTCTCAACTATAAAATAGCAGCTCTATCTATTTCACTAAGGATTAAGAGATGAGGCACATAGAAAGCCTCTAGCTGTGCTGGGCACATGTAGGCTCTAACCAAATACGAATTTCCCTAGTTCATCTGCTCGCCTCCCGCAGTGTGACTAATTACCATATTGATCCATCTGACCTCAGGAGCCAAATAAGTGGCCCGATATTTTTTTTCCTTCTCCTTTAAAAGGTGGCCTAGAATTGTAGAATTCCCAGCAAGGCAGGGAGCAGGGAAAGCGCCACAGACTGGGCCATTTCATTCTTGTGCCCAGAAAATTCTGAGGCCCGCCCCCGGTCAGCTGCTGAGACATCCAGAGTGCAAGTGATCAGAAATGGAGGTGCAGAACTGTTGGAAGGAGGGGGAATGTGCTGGCCGGACAGACCTTAATAAATCATGGGCACCGCCGAGGCCCATGGATGACAGCTGCACATTCCAGCTCTCCATGCACCCCCACCGGGCCGCGCAGCGCTCGCATGTCTGTGCTTTGGAAAGGGTCAATTTTTCCAGTCGGCAGGCGTGAGAGCATGTGGTTTCTGCGTCCTGATTCCCACCCTCCTCTGGCTTGCTTCTGCTGGGTTCTTGGCACCCAGCTTCACTACTCCCCGGGCTCACTGTTTTTCAACTGAGCTCTCCTGCACTTTGGTCTCCAGCTACCTGGCAGGAGCCTGGGCTGTGACGAGAGACCGACACTCTGCTGGTGAGATAGCCAGATGACACAAGGAGCAGGGAGTTGGGGGCAGAGGGGGGAAGGGTGAAGGTCCAGCTCGTCACCTCTGGTTTAATAGTGACCATTCTATTTGAGAAGGTGGGCTGTCTCTCCAAGAAAAGGGAAAGAAGAAAGTTGAGAGGCAGGAGGACTCCCTGCCTGTCTTCAGGGGGGCTGCTGGGCAGGTAGGTTCATCAGGAGTACAGGAGACATAATCCCTTCGTTCTGCTTCATCCCCAGCAGCCCCACGGACTCCTAGCAGGACCCCGTACCATCATCGCTCGTGTGATGCTCTGCGGCCACGTCCTGGGCTGCGTCTTCAGCCGAGGTAGTCTCCCCGTGAGGGCTGTCACTGCAACAGAGGCAAGAGTAACCGGGACCTCAGCCTGTGCTTCCAAAATTCTTGTCTTCTCTTCCATGCAGCTTCCTTGGAGCAAGGCCATGGAATCTATCCCACACTCTCTAGGTCCTGATCACACTACAGACAAATGCTGAGAATGGGGTTCTCTAGCCTAGCTCCTGCTACAAAAACTACATGGGACTTACAGTATCTTGAGACAAAGGGAAGCCCATTTGAATTTATAAATCTTTCTGAAAATTGAAAACAACTCAACTCCTCAAGGGCTGTTCCTCTGGGTGAGTTAGCTCCTGGAGGGAGTGTGGTGGAAAGGAAACTCCGGGCTTTAGCATCAGGACAACTGGATCTGAAAGCCAGCTCTGACACTTGGTAGCTGCGTGACCCTGGGCAATTACCTCATCTCTTTAAGCCCCAGCTACCTAATCTATAAATTGAGGATAATGGTCTATATGCTTCACGGAGTTGCATGAGGTTTCAGTGAAATAAGGAGTGATTAATAAGCAGTACTTTCTTCCCTTCTTTCTCATTTTGCTTGATGCCTCTGGTTGCTTTGTGGTTTAGTCTGTGTACAGGTGAGAAAGTTGGGGATGAGTCATGGAAACAAGTGAGAAATGAGAGAATGAGAGCAGGGGAAGAAAGTCTGCTGTGGGCTGGACTCGGCAAGAGGGCAGGGGATGAGAGCTGGGTCAAGTTCTTGACAAAATGCATGGAGTCTAAAATCACCCGGGGTGGAGGAGAGTCGAGAATGAGCAGGGAAGTTACTAGGAAAGCCATTTCTCTTCCTTATTTCCAGGTCTTGAGTGAATGAGGAGGGGCACCAGGAAGTTCTCACTTCCTGAAAACTAGAGAAAAACCCCGTTCACTTCTTCCTTTTTTTAAAAAAATTTATTTATTTATTATGGAAGTACTGGGGAATGAACCCAGGACCTCTTGCATGCTGAGCATGCACTCTTCCACTGAGCTGTACCCTCCTCTAGTTTACTTCTAAAGTTTCTCCCTCTGGTAGTAAGTAGGTAGTAACAAGTAAGTCTTCCTAGACTGCACTGAGGAGGCACCACAACCTCTCACCCCCACATCCTGGCTGCAGTTTCTGCCTTTGAGCCTACAGCCTCTCCCTCCTTGTGGGACCGATCCTTCACTCCTAGAATGTTCCTCAAAGAGCAGGGGACTAATTTAGAACTCCTCCCGTGTGAAGCAAGTCAGTTCCAAGGAGGTCCTCCAGACTCCAGGGAACATTATGAGAGAAAATGAACAGGGATTCCTCTTTAACAAAAAAGGTGGCCACATCTTCTCATTGCTCTCTGGGCCTAAAAACCTGATGAGTTTGGTGACATTCTGGAAACCCTCAGGGCCCCAGGGGTGTGGAGGGCAAAGGCTCACTTTTCCCCAGGCCTCCGAAGTCATTTATGTGGCCATCTTCAAGGAGCCCTAGATGGCTTGTTACAAACAGACGGCCTCACTCCCAGGGTTTCCGATTCACCAGGCCCGGGCAGAGTCGGAGTGGCTGCATTCCTAACCAGTCCGTGTGATGCAGGCGCTGCTGGTCTGGGCACCTCCAATTTGAAAACCACTGTTCTCAGGTACAGGCAAGATGATGCTTTATCAGGCCTCTTCCAACTTGAAATCCTATGCTTCTCTCATTCCACACGCAGACCCCAGCCCTGCCTCCGGGCCCAGCAACACCTGCGGTCTCAGAAAGCAGCCCAGCGTGCCAGACTGCTGGCAGTCCTAGAACCCGGGTTCCAGTTTCAGGGCGGGCAGGTGTGGGGAAGTGAGGCTGGCCTCTCCTCTCCACAGCTGCAGGGGGGCCAAGCGGCCCGGTGCTCCCTCTTCCTGGCTGTTATGGTCTCCTGGCTCATCTCCAGGATGCTTGGCTTCCGGCTCCCCTTTTGATGCCCCTCCCTCCCATCCTTCATCCATCTTAACTCACCTCACCCGCACTTCTCTCTCTTCTGATGGAGGCTGGGAGCCTTCTGAGTGGGTGTGAACCCAGCAGTCAGACGGTCCCTCCTACCCAAGGTCATTTATTCCTGATCCCAGGGTGCTTCTGGCCTCCCACCCAGCCTGCAGTAGTAACATCCCCTGACTAATCTCACGGTTTTCCCACAGGCTGCTCACAAACTGGGTCGGAGGTACCATCAACTGGGTGCTGGGAGAAGCCCCTGGAGAGAACTGGGAGGAAGACGCCCTCCCATCTGGGCCTGGTGAGCCGCCCCCACGGGGGCTCCGCTGCACTGGGCTGGGCCTAGGGGAACAGCAATGTGCGGGGCTCTGTGTCCTGGAACCCGTCCAGAGCCTGCAACGGTTTGGTATGTGAGAAGGGAGGTAAAGCAGGAATCAGGAACACTATTCGTCAGCTTTTCAACACTCAGGCAAGGGAAGCGCAAGGAGCTCACCAGCCAGTAGGCTGAGACCCGAACAACCTTCCCAGTCCCTACCAGCCATGTGTCGGTGACCGGAAGCTTCCTCTACAAGCTGGCAAGCCCAGGCCTCTCCAGCTCGGCCCCAGACGCCGGGCTCTGCAGGCCAGCGGAGAGGACTGAGCCCAGCGACGCCAGCGGTATTCTCACAGACACATGGATAGAACGCTCCTCACTGCTCGGGCTGGAGGCTCCTTCTGTGCGGATCAGGGAGAAGCGTGGACCGATTGGCCTCTAATTAAATAAGCAACCTCCCCTACCTCAGTCCACAGCAATGGGCTGGCTGAATTGGTTCCAGATGTTGAATTCAGATGGAATCCGATTTGGGCTGGCTTACGCTTTCAGCCCAGGCTGAAACACCGTTTAGGGGAAGCAGGGAGGGGCAGCGGAGGAGGAGGTAAGGGACATTAGGGAGTCAAAGAGAGAGTCTGTCTTTGTGTTTAGTGGAAGAATGACCTTGTAAGTGATACACTGGGGGCAGTGTGGGGCAGTGGGTGGTGCCCTGCACTGAGAGTCAAGGGGTCAGGGCTGGAATCCCCACCACTGGGGTGGCCTCAAAGATCGTCACTGGCCTCTCTGGACTGCAGTGACTTGATCTATAAAATGGAAATAGTGATTCATTATTTGTCTAATGGAAGGGTCTAGTAAAGACATGCCCTGGGGCTTTACAACTCTCTTTCCAGGCAAAGTCATGACCAACCTGCTTCTGGGCGAACTGTGCCTAACCTGCCAAAAATGCGCCTTCCCCCGCTTTGTCTTCACAAATGTCTGCGATCACTATTAAATGATCACTGTATGCATTCACCGTCAGAACATGATGCCTCATATCTGAACTCTTCACGATCAGAAAGAAACTCCCTGGGACGTAGGTCTGTTCCTATCACAAATAATCAGCTCCAAGCAGGAGCCTGAGAGACCCTGCTGCCTGATGAAGGGCAGCTCCACACACCACCACATCAAGTGTCCTCTCCCAGAGATAATCAGTGTTACTGTTATTGTTGACATTATCTTTCAGAACAGTCCCTCACCACCCAGAACCTGTAAAACGGAGAGGCGGCTTGAAGTGGCGCTCACCCTGAAGGTTAGATCAAGGTGGGGCCCGGCCTCCAGCGACCCCAGATCCTGGCAGCTTGAAGCGCCTTTTGGAGTGGGAGGTGGGGGAGGATCTGGGTGGTTCCCTCCCATCTCGCATGGCCATCTGGTGCCCACGCCAGTGTGTGCTGGTGACGCCTCCCCCTCCTCCAGCCCCGGGCCCCCTACCAGTAATCCTCCGTGCTTCCTCCTCTGCTGTAGGTGGGGCCCTCCAGCTCCCTGGGGTTTGGGAAGACGTTCTCATGCTGGATGATGATGGTTTTGATCAGCTCGTTCACGTGGGCTTGGCAGGACACCTGGTCGTGGCCCTCGGGCACTGACATCAGCGAGGGCCCGAAGCAGATGGCGAGGTTGTAGGGGTCCATCATGTTCTCTTCACTGAACTGTGACAAACTGGAGGAGAAGGCAAAGGGGGCGAGCTGAAGAGCAAGCGCATGGACGCCCAGAAAACACAATCACAGGAGGCGCTGCGGGGAACCAGAACAGAAGCACCACAAATTGCCACCTGCTTTTCTGGGCATCGGAGCCCTTCTAGAAGGTTGGTGGGGGGAGGAGAGAATGATCACCAGGACAGTCACTCAGGAGCCAAGGAAAGGCAAAGTGGAGGTCCCTCCTTGCCCCTGTCCGCTTTCTCTAGCTCCCAGTTCAAATCCTACGTACTCCCCAGTTCCCACCCCCACCCTAGACCTTATCCACCAAGCCCACCTTGCCTTGGGAACACGCCACTCAGCAGAGATGGCTGTGTGCCCACTGACCAACCCGCTGAGCTGACAGAGCAGACGGAGGCCCTCGGGCTGCCCGGGTAATGACACGGTCAGGAGACACAGCCCTCATGCGTCGTGTGCCTTCTGGTATGGCAAAATCATCAAATTATTAGGGATATTCCATTCTAAGCTCTAGACTCTAAAAAACAGCCAACCGACGAGCTTTTGGTATTCCACCAAGCCCGTGACTTTCTCTCTGGAACAGCTAATATAATTGTTTTGCATTTTTGTAATACCCTCCTCGACTGTTACATTCAGGATTTATTCAGGAAGAGGTCAGCATGCAGTTCAGCCTTCTTCTGGACGCAGTCTGACTTCACTATCGGGTATTTTATTCTAGGAACTCCCCCTTTTCAGCCAGCAGCACTCCAGCCATACCTCCAATCCTGGCCAAGGACCCAAGCCCTTCCAGGAGCCACTGGGCCTGATGAGATCCCATTGAACTGTCTGTCCGGGCACTTAAGTCTGGTTAGCGCTGCCTTCAATGATTGGACATAGCGCTGCCCCCAACAGTCTGCAGAGATGTGAGCTCTGTCAAGGGGTTCTGCCTCCCTCATGGGCATGGGCACAGGATTCTGACAGATCTCGAGAGGATATCAAAGCCCTCTGATGCTGGACCAGAGGCCTGGGACTCAGCTGTCTTCATCTGAGTAGCTGCTCTTTAAAATCGGGCAGTTTATCTCTAGTGTATCCAGCATCCAGACTCAATTACCAAGCTGGTCTCTCTCCAACTCAGTGATTCTCTCCTCCACTAAAGATTCAGATACGTCCCCAGTCCCCCTTAGAGAATCACTGCAGGATGTGTGAAGTGGGACGATGGAGGTAAACAACTGCCATGGTTGAGAATCACTGCTCTCGAGGACCTAGTCAAATGCAGGGGTGCCCGTAATGGGCGAGTGATGGATCTCAGTGGCTGGACTGCTTCATAGGAGGTCTTAACGTCCTAATTTTATAATCCTTCCTGGATTGAAAGAGAGCAGAGATTCTGAAAAGGCTGGGAGAAGTTTCCTTTGACTTCTTGGTCAAAGGAAAATGGAACACAGACAGGACAGATAATGACCTTGGTAACCTCAGCAGGGACAACGAGGCATGAGGTGTCACAAGGCTATAGCTGTAGCTCATCCCAGGCTGGCTGCTTCCTGGGCTCATGGAGGGACAAGGAGGAGGAAGGCCCTGTTTCTTTAGCGTGATCTGACGTTTTGGTAACATAGAAGAAAACCAGTAGTTTCCAGGAAGCCTGGTGGTCAAAGAGAAATAAGCCCTAGCCCTGAGGGTCCCAGTCTAAGCTCCGTGAGAGACGAGGAATCCTGCCAAGCCGGCCAAGGCAAGGACGACTCACCTCCTAGATGGCTCCAGTGGCCGGGGGCTAGAGAATACATGTCTTTGTGGACTGGGGTCTTGTGGGTCCAGATCCATTTCTTACTCCCAGTAAAATACAGACCAAGATCCTTCTCTCTCTTCCAATCCACAACGGGAATACCTAAGTTTAGGGACTAAAATCACGGTTCTTAACTAGCTGGGGGACACAGGCTCCTTGAAGAGTCTGACAAAAACGAAGGATTCTCTCCCCAGAAAAACTCATCTATAAGCACAAACAAATGCACACAATTGTGTATATAATATAATGGTACTAATCATCCTTGAAGACTCTGAAGGCTGTTCCCAGTATAAGACCTCAAACACTGGATTATTATTTTTAAAGAAATATCTGAAATGGTTAACACTGGTAACAGCTCCTTCTTCTAAACTTTTTTTTTTGATGTTGACATATACAGGTAGCGGTATTGTATTTCTTTAGTTTCTGTCCATAACATTACAGAACTCTCCTGACTGATGTGAACTCATTCTCTTTTGTGCATCTTAAAAAGGTTGAGTGTAGGGGTTAGGAACACAGGTTTTTTCGGGGGAATGAGAAAATCAGGATTGGTGTGAGAAACTTGTCTTTTGCCATGCACTTCTGTGGACTTTTCACTTTTTACCGATGCACACTTGTATCTTGATTAAATTTAAAAAGAAACACAAAACACCCTAAGAATTTTAGAGTCAAGCAGACCTGGTTTTGAGTCCCAGCTCCATCGCTTACCAGGTCCATCATTTTGCTCTAGTTTCCTAATTTCTTCATCGTAAAATGGGGGCAATTATGTGTCTCCCTGATGGGCTGCTGTGAGATTAAATGAGGTAATAATGTATGCAAAGCACTCAGCACTGTGCCTGGCACATAAATACGCCTGGTGTTCAATAAATATTTTCTATACTTTTAACATCCTCACTGCTTCTTGATATAGCACCTTCATTTCCAGCCGGTCAGGAAATCGGCAGCAGGGCTGCCACTGTTTGGCAGTAATTGATCGACAGGAGTCCACCAACGTCTCCTGATAGGCTTGTCTAACTGAGGGCTCTGCATCCCCAAATCAAAACCTTAAATCCTCAGGGAGAGCACGAAGCTTTGAAGACTGTTTTAAATATATGACATTTCACTTAAAAACCTTCAACTTCACAGGCCCCAGGGGTTTGATTTGGCAACAACCAATTGACTATGGGTAAGATATTCTGCATCATTCACCATGGCCCCAGGCAAACCGTGGGGCTGAGAATATCTGTGAATCCATGATTTAACAGATTTCCCCAAAAGGCTCCTTAAGAGAAGTGGAAGGTAATTCTGGCTGATGCTTTCTTATGGTCCTTCAAAGGGGTCTCCTCACTCCCCCTGCCTACAATGCCACCTGCTCCATCCTCTGTGGTCCCCACATGTATTAACTGACTTGCCTCTGCACCTTATGTCCTGCCTTCCTCCCTGTGTGATGACTCCCATCCTCTCTCACTCCCTGGAGAAAATCATTCCAGCAATTACCTTGCTCCCTCCTTCATCACCAGTTCTCCTTCTCTACTGGGTCATCCTCACCAGCGTAACAAATGTGCAATAATACCGCCCATCTTGAAAGCAAAATTCTCTCTTAACCCCCTATCCACACCGAATTACTGTCCCATTCCTCTTCTCCTCTTTGTAATAAAATTCTTTGAGAGCTGTCTGGACCTGCTGCCTCTGATTCTCTGGCTCCTCTTCACCCCTTCCATTATGGACTGAACTGTGTCCTCTTACAACCAATCCCAATTCAAATGCTGAAGCCCTAACCCTCAACGTGATTGTATTTAGAGAGAGGGCTTTTAAGGGGATAATTAAGGTTAAATGAGGCCATGTGAGGATGAATGAGAAGGTGGTTGCCTACAAGCCAAGGAGAGAGGTCGCACAGAAACCAGCCCTGCTGGCACCTTGATCTTGGACTTCCAGATTCCAGAACCGTGAGAAAACATATCTCTGTTGTTCAGGCCGCTCAGTCTGTGGTGCTTTGTCACAGCAGCCCAAGCAGATTCACACACCTTCTGTCTCCCCCTGTCCCCCATCTCTTTATTGTGGTAAAATATACACAATAGAAAATACACCATTTTAACCCTTGTAAAGTGTAGAATTCAGTAGTATTTGGCTTAACACGACCCCACTGTACGGATGTAGCACATTTTGTTTACCCACCATCAGCACCCCTCCTCGCACGAACAGACACTGTCAGGACTTTGCCCCTTCTCCTCCATGAAGAGGACACCCATCCAAGTCACCAGTGATGTCCATGCTGCTGAATCAGCTCTCAGTCCTTTTCTTAGCTGACCTGCCATCGCACTAACTCAGTTATCCCACCCTCCTTGAAACACTATGTGTGGCTTCGGGACACAGTTCTCTCTTGGTCCTCCTATATCACCGCCCACGGTTACCTGCTCAGTGAGGCGTCCCGGACCACTGTATATTCAAGAGCAAACCCTGCGCCCAACCCAACCCTAACAATCTCCAGTCCCTTAACCCGCTTTAATTTTCTCTGAAGCCCTTAGCCTCTGACATATGACATGTGTACTTAAACACGTCTGCCTTGCTCCAATCCTAGTGCTACCTAGGCTCCGTGAGGGCAGAGACCATGACTGTCTGGTGCAATCTTAGATAGCCAGCAGCCAGAACAGGGCCTGGCATATAGTAAATGCTGAATAAATCCATGTTAAATAAATCAGGGAATAAATACATGAGCATCAGTGAATCTCCAAGGTAATCCAGCCACAATTCTACGTGTCTATTTGCATACAGAAGCTTAAAACCTTCCTTGTGAGAGTAAGAAGAGCAGCTCAGGTGGAATCTTTCCAAAGCGGGAGGCACTTGGGATGCTGAGGTTCAGAGGAAGACTCAGCCTCTCTGGAGAGCGGCTGGAGCGCCTTCCCCATGAGAGAAGCACCACCGATTTCCTCTTTTAGACATGGAGCAATGTTTGAGGACGTAGAGTGGTGCTTCTCGGACTTCCACGTGCCTGTGACTCACCAGGGGACTTCATCAAAAGACAGACTCTGAGTCACAGCTCACTGGGGGTGGGGGTGGGGGAGGGGCACTGAGACGCCATATTTCTCACAATCTCCCAAGTGATGCGGATGCTGCTGGTCTGCGGACTTCACTTGATTACCAAGAGACTAAAAAGCTGTGCTGTTTGACGTCTGAAGAAATCAGGTTGCAAAAGGCAAGCAGCAAAGTAAAGCTGCAGGAAGGGGCGCTGCCTACACTTGGTTGTGGGGCGAACACCCACTGGTAGCACAGATGTCGTGGCAGGCAGCTTCCAGAACGGACTCCATGGCCCCTGCCTGCTGGTACTCACACGCTTGTGACATTCCCTTTGAGTGTGGCTAGACTCAGTGGCTCACTTCTAGTGAATGGAATATGGCAGAAGTGATGGGAGGCCACGTTACTGCTGTCTTGGGCGCTCTCTCACTCACTGGCTTGGAGCGCAGCCAGCTGCCATGTTACGAGCCATGCTATGGTGAGGCCCACGTGGTGAAGAACCGATGGAGGCCCCTGGCCAACAGTCAGCCAGGAATGGAGGTCCTCAATCCAACAACCTGTAGGGAGCTGAATCCCGCCAACACCACTTAAGTGAGCTTATGAGCAGATCCCTTCCCTGCTGAGCTTTCAGAAGAGACTGCAGCCCTGCCCTCGACACACTCACTGTAAACTCATGAAACCTGAAGCCAGAGGCTCCCAGCTAATCTGCATCTGGATTCCTGACCCACAGAAACTGTGACAACATAATAAATGCTTACAGTTGTAAGTTGCTAAGTTTTAGGGTAATTTGTTACACAGCAATGGATAATCAATGCAGACACTACATAAGGATAATGTTAATAATTAACAAGTCCTGCTGGACAGGAACGTACCCAAGGCTTCATACAGTGGCCTGGACACTGGCTGCATAGATCTACATGGAACCAGGTCAAGTCCACACACACTGGTACACTGTGTAAGGAGTTCCATATAGATACATATACATGTTAGTTTTGCGGGAGGAGGGTGTTCCTTGAGATGAAGTATGTGTATAACCCAAGAAGATCATAGTCAGAAATAAAGCACACCCCTCCCCAGGGTACAACACACAACAACAAAGGAGGGGGGTCCTGACAGTGTGGGCCCAGGGAGAGTCTCCATGAGGAGCTACCTGCCAACTCTGGCTACACCTGCGGGTAGGGGCACGCTGCTCGCCTGTCACCTTCCCATGCAGGCAGGTGATCTCCGCTATCACCTATGTCCTGCACTCCATTTATTGTTTTAGGAAACACTGTGGTTATTATGTTGCATCTTTTCAGCGAAGTACTTTGATGAGCAAGTCAATCTTTTCTAACCAGAAAAAAAAATAGTAAACCAAAAGTAATCATTTGACTTGGTGCAATTTTCCATTTCCCTTCAGTCGGGGCCACCACCTCCAGCTTTACAGCATATGCTGCTCACTTTTCTCTCTGCCCACACAAGCTTCCCAAGCCCCCACGTAGCAGGAGAAGAATGGACCATTGTGTTCACACACACAGTCACCCCAGGACCCCCCTGCCTGTTTACCCATGACCGTCAAGCTCCATGCTCTGCAGGAGCAGACTAGGCTGCTTGAGGGCAGGTATTGGTCAAAGAGAGGTGACAAGTGGCCCTTGTCACAAGAGGGGACTGACTGACTCGAGAGTCATTACCAGAGTTTCTATTTCCATTTGCCTAAAACGGGCAGCATGTGAGCACCCTGTGTGAGTCACAAGGGCTTCTGAACCAGAGGCAGTTGTGGGGCTGAGTCAGGGCTTGGCTAACGAACCGAATGGTGCAGACACAGCCATGTGGAGGGAGCAGCTGCAGGCCCAGGACCCCCTGTCGCTCTGCAGGACCAGCAACAGGGCCAGAGGGCGGTGGGGTTGCCCCAGAAAGGTCTCAGGCAGGGGCCCCTAACCCAGATGCCTAGAGGGCAGGCTGACCGTACATAAGCGGGCTGAGGCTCCCGAGATGGCCTCTCAACTCATATTTCGTTGAAGTAGAGACCAATCCACTAAGAAGAATTCTTTTTTTTTTTCTTTTTCTGTTTTTGGGGAAGACTTCATTTTTGCCAAGAAATATGAGCTAACACATCCTAGCCCTTGGTTTCATTTTTTGTTTTCACTCTTTTTACAGATTCATGGATCTAGAGAACTGTTTTCCCACTGTATGAAAAACCATAAAGCAACCGTGATGATAAATAACCACTGAAACCAGCCTCAGCACTGGGGGGGACATCGGGGAGAGCTGGGGACTGTGGAGAGTCGGGGAGAGCCTGACTGGTTCGTCTAGGCAGCAGCCTCGACTCCACCGGGAGTTGTGGCCATGTGGGAATATGCAGATCCAGGATGGCCAGATTCAATGATTTTTTAAGAGGAGCTAGAAATGGAGATCTTTTTAAGAGAAAAATCTCCCAATATTTAGATGTTTCAATGTTTTCAAGACACAGTGGACTGAAAGGAAACACATCTGAAGGCCTCATCTGGCCCTGGGGTTGTCCATTTATAATCTTTGGCGCAGGCTGTTGAGGGAGATGCTGCAGTGAAAACAATGTGCAGAGACAGAGGTGCCTAAGGGGAGAAGCACTGCATGTCCTTGCCTGTTGCCTTTGCTGCCCTGTGGTGACTCCACCGCCTGCCCTGCGCAAGGGCACACTGCTTAGACAGAGAAATGTCCCAGCCAAGCCCAAGGCCCCTCCGGTCCTCAGATCTCTCTTCTAGCTACACTCACTCCCTGGCTGACCAGCTAAATAGCACCAGTACACGATGACTCCACACTGCATCTCCGCTCCGGGTTTCTCCTCCGAGCATCTGACACCTGTGTTCAGCTGCCTACTTAGAACCTCCACCTGGAGGGCAATGGGTGCCTCAGGTTAACACGTCCACCTCGGCACCTTGTCTTCCCCTACTCCACAAATGGCATCACGACTTCCCTGCTGCTCGGGCCAAAATTTTAGAACTTATCTTTCCTCACATCCTACACCCTACCCATCAGCAAGTCCTTTCAAGGCTACGTTCAAAATAGATCCCAAACCTGACCCCTTCCACTACCCTCTATCCTCACCTCCCCAACCTAGGCCACCAGCACTCCTAGCCAAGACGGTACAAAAACTTCTGGAAAGGTCTACCCTCTCCACACATTACTTTGCAGTAACTTCTCCACAAAGCAGTTGGTGGATTTTAAAAATATATAAGAAGTCAGATCATAATACTCTTCTCCTTGAAACTTTCTGATGGCTTCTTCAAATACAAACTCATGGTTGCCACGACTTTTTGGGGCTTGATTGCCTTGATCGTCCCTGTGGTTCCCTCCTTCCTTCATTTAGGCTGCTGCTCGTACGCCATCTCCCCGCCCCTCTGCAGTGGCTGTCCCTCTTCCACCCCTGCCCCTAGTCCCTCAGCTTACACTTCTGTGTTTTTCTTCTAAGCGCTTATTACTACCTGATGTGTCTGCTATTGTCTGTGTCTTCTGCCAGAACACAACTTAAATGGTATCCAGGCTTTTGCCTCTGATTTCACAAGCTATTCTTACATCCTACAGCTGTGCCTGGCATACAGTAGGCATTCAATTTGTTGGGCTGGATGAATCATCATAGGTCCCTACGTAAACTTCCAGTGCCCAAGGCCAAGGCCGGATACCACTGCTCACTGGGAAGGCTACTCACTGATTGAGGAAGGCAAAGAGGTATCTCATGATAATCAGAGTGGTTTTGGGCAGGACCAGGAGGACTTTCCGGATGTGCTGAGCTCTCTCCTGCAGGTTGTCCATTGCTGAAAGAAGAAAGCCATGCATTACCCTCCAAGGTGACTGAGAGCCCAGGGCGCAGTGGTCAGAAGGCCCTTACTAGCAGCAAGTACAACACAGACAGCAGCCAGGTCAAGTCCACGCAGCACTGGTGCAACGTAAGGAGGTCCACCTGGGCGGCTCCTTGCAGTAGGGCTGCTGTGATGGGGCACATTGGGCTCCAGACACCTCACTGGGGCAGGACGTAAGGATGCTCCTTGGGCACAGAAGGGTTTGGAGATGTTCCCCACAGCATCTACCACTCTCTTATTATAAGACCACAGGTAAGATGCTGACCGTAAACTGCTCTGACTGCTCAACACCCAGCCTTGGAGGGCCTCCATGTGGGGAGGGGGTGGGGCTGTGCAGGTCCTGTCCTGCCCACTCCACATGTGCATCACCTCATCCCCTGGACCAGTCTGGCTGATTGTCCCCCCTCCCTTTTCTGCAGTGGGGGTGAGGAGACTGTGGCCAGAGGCAAGAAATGGCATGCCCCTGTGTAAGGAGCAATATTTGGGGAGAAAACCAGAGGATTTTCCTGACTCTTGTGCTGTGGTCAGATTAATTCCAGGTATGACCCTATGCCTGTGCCTCCCTCACAGCCAGCCCCCAGCTTCCACGGTATGCAATGTGGATACTGTCATTTTCTTTCTATTTTTTTTTGAATTTCGTTTTTAATTAAAAAAAATTTGGGGGGGCAGTAATTAGGTCTATTTACTCATTTATTTTTAGAGGAGGTACTGGGGATTGAACCCAGGACCTTGTACCTTCTAAGCATGCACTCTACCACTTGAGCTATACCCTCCCCCGATATTGTCATTTTCTATGAGAGCCTTTACGTGAAAAAGGAATGGGACCCCATCTGGGCAGAGGATTAGCCAGCCAAGGTATCTTGCACTGTCTTGGCAACCCCAGCCCACTTAGGATAGTCTACCTAGGTCCAGTCCTGGACAAAGACGTGAAGACACGAGGGATGCATATATTCAATCACCCACAGAACTCATTTCCACGAGGACTCCCACAAATGGTGGGGAAACAAATAAAACAAGAGAGCTAGCTTCCTGAGCGCTCTGGGCCTCTCCCCGAGAATAACGGAGGGATGGCGCTCAGCATATATACC